TGGATAATGAGACTGACAACGGCAACCAACGAGGGAACAGGTATATATATTTTTTTATTTTTGATTACAGCTTGATTCCACACTGTATTTTTGGTACAAGTATGGAGTTTTCAGCATGGATATCGGTAGCCCAAAATTCGCAGGCCGACCATAGATATCAGGTGTGCGTCGGCGTGGGCTCGAACCCAGGACCATGTGCATGGTTGGCGAGAGTCCTAACCACTGTGCCACCGACGCACAATTCACACCACGATACACCCATTGACTGGGCATTGGTTTTCAGGAGAACCAAACACACGCATCCCCGCCTCTTGCGAGACGAGAACGGCATGCAGGATCAACCTGTGGCGCAACCACTCGAGAGCCCTCTCCCTCGGTGGACCAAAATGAACTGATACAAAAGACTTGGAGGATCTGGATTTCGCCGATGATGATATATGTCTGATTTCCCAAAAACTGGAAGATATGCAAGTGAAAAGCAACAAGTTGGCAGAAGAAGCATCAAAGATAGGACTTCAAGTGAACATAGATAAAACAGAGGTGATGAAGATTCCTAGCCAACATCAACAGCAACAACACCAACAGACAACAATCAGCCAGCATAAATGAAAGGAACCTGAAAGAAACAGCCTCCTTCACCTACCTGGGAAGCATCGTCTCAACTACAGGCGAACAGAACTGACGAGGATATCAAAGCCAGAATCGGAAAAGCAAGACAAGCTTTCATTACTCTCAAATCTGTGTGGAGGTCAACAGCACTCAGCATCAAAAATAAGATCCGGATTTTCAACTCCAATGTGAAGTTAGTCAGTGCTACTATATGAATCAGAGACTTGGCGAATCATAAAGAGCATCTCAAACAAACTTCAGACCTTCATTAACAGCTGTCATCGCTCAATACTCAAGATCAGATGGCCAGAAAAGATCAGCAACAGGGATCTCTGGGAGCGAACCAACCAACCGACCAGGAACCGATTGCGAAACAAATAGGCAGGAAGAAGTGGAGATGGATTGGTCATACTCTGAGAAAACCATCAAGAGACATCACTAGACAAGCCATCACTCGAGTGAAACCCAAAATGGAGGTGGCAAGTTGGCCGTCAGTGCAAGGGTGACTTGGAGGAGGTCATGCGAGGAGGAGATGAAAGCATGTGGACAGACCTGGAGCGGGGTGAAAACGTTGTCAGAAAACAGAAGGCAATGGAGGTGCGCAGCTGAAGCCCTATGTTCCTCTAGGAACTAAAGGATACAATAATAATAATACGAAAGATGAGCAGTTTAAACTGGTCACCGACTTAGTTTCAAAGAAGGCCTTGTTCATGAATTTGGAATTCAGCCTTGATCAGCCTTCAGATATGCCCAAAATCCATCTCTCTCCAAAGCAGTCAGTGAGACGTTATTTGAAGCAAAATTACATATGACGTTCACTAGACGCAAATTGTTCTCTACCTCGATAAACTCCCCCGTCTGGCCGCCTCCATGTCCATCTATCAGTTCACCTGCTCTTCTCGTGGAGCAAGGTATTTTGGCCGTAGTCAGAGGACGGTTTCCACATGAATACGAGAACTAATTACAGCTCTATGGTTTTATAAGTGAGAAGGGGAGTGTGGTTAAGCTCTATTCTAGAACACCTGATCGGCTCCTGTCACTCGTCCAACACTGACCATGATTTCAAGATCATCTACTGAATCCATGCTAACAGCGGGAGCTTTGATCATTCATGACTTTAGGCGACACCTTTGTGTACAAAAGAAGCATGTACAATGCCCATTTCTGTCTTGGCCACAGACTGATAGACATTTATTTATTTATTTTGTTTATTTAGTTATTCTATGTACCTTTTCGCCATTACCACGATTATTATTATTATTGTCATTCTCACTGTGAATTGTTCCCTCTTATCCCACTTGTCATTCTTCATCCAAAACTATTTATTTTATTTTTACAATATTAAAGTTATCGAATTTCACACCATGTTATGTAACATTTCGAAACTCAGAAGGAACATGAGTTCCTTCGCGTTTGCAGATACGCCTTGCTAATAAGTGCCAACTAGCACGGAACCTAGATCAAGCCAGGCTTCCTGAAACCGATTGCATCCAACCACCAAATACCGACAATGGTGAGCCACCCGGAATGGTGGCTGCACTACAAGCTAGACAGATAGAATTCAGTCTGCACAGAAGATAGGACTAAACACATTACAGTAGTTACTGACTAGTGTCCGATCGAAACGTGTTGATCTGTTGTTACAGCCCTAAGTTCCAGGCGGAACTCAAGGGAATAATTATAATAAAAGTTCCCATTTATTCATAAGTAAAAACACAGTTTTTTTTGTTCAACGAAGAAATTTCTTTTCAACGACTTCATTTTCAAGCCAACTGTACAGTCTTATTTATATTACAGAAAAAGGTGGTTATTAAGTGGCACTAGATAATTCCTCAGTCAACGTATATATCATAAGTTATAAGAATAACGGTAATTAAAATTTTATAAGGGGTGGAGTTGAAGTGAATAAATTACAGAATTATTAATGATTGTTTTATAAGTGGATTGATGTCAAAAATGTTTTTAAAATGTCAAGTGTTGTCTAAAAAATTAAAAAAAATAGGAGTACGAATACGATAAGAATGAAGATGTGAAGTGAATTGGAACGACTTCAAGTGGTAAAATAAAATAAAATAAAAACTAGAAAGAACCTTACTATGATCAAGGTAAAGAAAGGGGTTTGACAAAACGTTTTTGAACACATAATTTAGGTTTCTGTTCATGTATTGCTAAAGCTTGGGCTAGCTATGCATAAGTGAAGAAAATGTAAACTTTTGGATCGATTCGATTTTGCCATGTAGATGACTTTGAAAGATGAATCACTTAGGGCTAAATAACCAGACTCTAACAGGTGATCACAAATAGACGACTTTGCAGTTCTACGTTCACCTTTCATTAACCAAGCCGGATAGTGTTCAGCAACACGTTTTCGGAGATTACGCTTACAACTTCCAATATAATCAACTCCATAAGAGCAGGTAAAAGAGTAAATGCACATAGATGTGGACAAAAGCGGTAATCTATCCTTGACACATTGTCTAATCATATTTCGACTAGTAAAAACTAGATGCAAATCAGCTTCAGGGAAAGTACGTGTAATTCGTTTAGATAAACGATTTTTAATCAATTCTGAAATGATGTCACCTTTTAATGCTAAAGTCATAAACAGTTTTTTCTTTGGTACTGTGACTTGTCTAGGGGCGGATTCTTTCTTGATGTTACGTTCAATGAACCTTGCGGGATAACCATTGTTAAGGAGATTTGATCGAAGGTTATCTAGTTCCCTATCGATTGTCTCTGCAGAGCAGATTTTACGAATTCTGGAGCATAAGGAGTGAATAAGATTTCTCTTTCTCCTTAAAGGTACCCAACTGTTGAAGTTAGTGTACTGCCCAATGAATGTTGGCCTTCGGTAAATCAACCTTAACAGCGTTCCATTCTCTCTTCTATCTAGCTTAACATCAAGGAAATGAAACGAGGAGTTCGACTCTTCTTCGACCGTGAAAAGCAAAGATGGGTGAAAACCATTAAATATACCAAGAAGTTCGACAGTTGAAGAGTTTTCCCCACATACAATGAAGGTATCATCAATATATCGTTTATACATAAACAAACTATCGATGGTTTCCTTTAGTGGGCCATTCTCTAAGCTTGCCATGAAGACGTCCGCTAAGAGTTGTCCTAAAGGAGACCCCATGGCGACTCCATACCTTTTATTATAGATGACGTCATTAAATCTAAATTGCACACTTATAAAACAATCTTTAATAATTCTGTAATTTATCCACTTCAACTCTACCCCTTATAACTTTTATCACATATATACGTACATTGACTGAGCAATTATTTAGTGCCACTTAATAACCACCTTTTTCTGTAATATAAATAAGACTGTACAGTTGGCTTGAAAAGAAATTTCTTCGCTGAACAAAAAAAACTGTGTTTTTACTTATGAATAATAAAAGTTGTTAATAACACTAATCTATTCAGTATTATGGATGCATTTATAACTGTAAAACTTGATGAAGAAGAGGTTATCGAAAAAATAATATTCTTTGTTCAGTAGCCATTATTTTGAAGATCTATAAATCTCGACAAAATGCTGCATATTCATAAGATGTAGGGTAATTAAACTTAGTGAATATCTTCTTCGCTTTAGGGATAAACTACTCGGAATATGCTCAGAAAACCGGAGATTATCTCTGCCTACTATCTGTCTTCTCAATGTACTTCTCACCAAATTCGATCTTTCTTGTTTTATGGACAATTACTCACTTAGTTGTCTTGACTAATTTCGATAGAGAAAGGAAAACGAAATTTGCAGTATGAAATGATATCATCCAGTGTATAAAGCATAAGTCACTTTGACTGAGTTAGTTAATTAACTAAGCCACAAGAAAATAAGTAAATGAAAACCAAATTAGTTCTTGAAAATGACTCTAATGCTCTCTAGTTGCCTGATGGAATTCAAATGAGAGAAGTCATGTGACCAATGAGGCCTACCCGGTTGTTGGAAGTGTTAGGACAAATACTCACCAGCGTTGACATTAGCTAGCTGGTGCACCTAGTCAGTCAGTCAGTCAGTCGCGCTAAAATCACGAATTGGTAGAAATCAGTATTCATGGGTGGTTGGCCATTGAATGTCTTGGGTCTACAAGTTTGCCTTGTAACCGGAAGTTCTTGGGCTCTAACCCTGGCAGTGCAGTTGGGTGCATACTGCCGATGAGTAGTCCCAGACTAGGCTGACGAAACATCTGTGTCCAGTACCAGTACTCCTGATTGGTTTCCAGTGGCTCTTTCTGTAAGTGATATCAGTCCGTGAATGTTGATCTTGAGAGGAGCATGAATGATGGAGGAGGAGGAGGAGTATGTTGTTGCAGTCGGAACACTTCTGTATTTAATTAATCAAATAATTAATTTTTCTTTCTTTGTTTGTTAATTTTTCAATACAGTCGCATGTTCTACTCTAGCTGGATCTAAAAACAATAACCCTAATTTGTTGTCGTTGTTGAATAATAATACCCCAACTACTATTGCATCCGCTTCAACAGCACCACCACCGACGACGACATCATCATCATTGTCGTCGACGTGTGGATCAGGTGAATCTGCTCGTGAAGAGAATGTCAACAACAACATCAGCGGTGGAGGCGGCGGTAATCGTGGTGGTGTTGTTGTCGTAAAGATATTCCGTTGTAAACTTTGTCATAAGTTTTATAAGTCACGACGTAGTTTATTAAGACATCAAATTTCACATCATGGAAAGTCGGATAGTCAGGCAGGTCACAGGTTCTCCTTATCAGCTACATACTGTCTGAATTTAAGTGATCTCTCATATCCTTGGTTTTGATTACATTAATTAGTCATCGAATTCAGTGATCTCAACTCACTTACTGAGCAAATCTCAATCTTATAAACTGTAACCACTTTTGTTTTTTAAGTTGCTGTGTGAACAAGCTACAAGCTAACATTGTTCTGTTAATTTTTTCTGTCTCACCCCTCCCCTGTCTTTTGCTACTTTGAAAGTGTATAAATTGATGATGAAAACTTAAACAACTAAAAATTGTAATGCTGCTTACATTTTGGATGCTTCAGATTTTTAAAAAGTTTCATAACTACTACCACTTAAACATTAAAGTATGTTATATATTATCGTGTATGTAACCATTGTAATTTCATGTAGAAGTCTGCAGCTAATGAGAACCTGTGAAGTAGATTGACGATATCATTTCATTCCTTTACGTTCCCCGGGGGAACGTAGGGGGGAATCAATCTAGAGGTTTAAAGTTTCGGTAGCCCTTGGTGTTTTATTATTTTTACTGGTGGATAGGGTTGCTACTCTCATGCCTAACCCAACCTCGCCTTTTTACCAGTCTTATTGCTGGCTTAGCGATGTGAGGTAAACGAGTGCGTCTGTGGCTGGGGATCGAACTGTGTACAACATGAGGCATGGTTGGCGAGCATTCTGTCGCTGTGAGACTGACTGACTCACAACTGTTAATTTACTGACAACTTATTCTATGTTCAAGCAACTTAATAATATATGTGTAACATTTGGGCATTGTGTTAGTAAGCATTTCCATATTAGTTCGTTTATCAAATGTATCACACAGTCAGTGAAACAGTATTAGTATTAACTGGACATTGACGTTTCGAAAACAATTCATTGTTCATAATTATATCATCAATTATAATCACAAGATTTCGAAACTTGACTTTTATAGTTACCTTAGTCTTCTCCTATTTTGTCTTCGTGTGGGTAGTAGTAGAATTTTCCAGATATCTCGGTGGACAGGTGTTGAATCATTCCCATTACATGTATTTGCAATTGATTTGATAAACAAAACTTCTGTTATCAATCTCTCCCTCCCTCCACCCTGTGAGAGAATATGAACAGGACTGATTCAACAGCCAATCACAGCAGACTTAACGTGCACAGATACGATTCGCAGATATATGGCTTAACTTTCTGAGAAACCAGTCATAAGCAGTACAGAATAACCTTGAGGAAGGAACAATCAATCAGAAGACTGTGTTTGTCTGCTTGAATAAGCTACAATAATGTACATGAAATATATATATAAATACGTGCTGATTTCCTTAACAAACGATTTTTTGCCTGGCCCTTGTCTTCTGTTGTTACAGTATAATATTAGAATATAAGTTGCTTGTTCCACATCAGTTTGTTTATTAGATATATCACACAGTGATGAAATAGTTTTCTTTGTTCTCTCCTATTTGTCTTCGTGTGGGTAGTAGTAGAATTTTCCAGATATCTCGGTGGACAGGTGTTGAATCATTCCTATTACACGTGTTGATTTGCAGTTGATTTGATAAACAAAGCTTCTGTTATCAATCTCTCCCTCCCTCCACCTAGCTGTGACATTAGATTTTAAAACTGTCATCCTATCGCATCCATCGTATTGTATGATTGTGTGTAACTGCATGTAGTGTGAGTGGTATAGCTGAACTATTCTCTAGATTTCTTATCTTATTCAGGTCAACCAATCTAGAAAGTCAGGCAAGGGAGTACAAAGGAAAGAACATGGGAAGTTAAACACACACTGGTGTTTACAGGATACCCACACATTTAAACAGATATTTGAACTTCCAATCATCCCATCCTGGGTCAGCGAAAATAGAATTGGTGAAATGTTTAGATGACAGAGCACAAAAACTAAGTAGTATCAAGGAAATTCTAAGACAGAAGAAAGTGAAGCATATAAGAGAAGCTTTGAAACTTAATAATTACCCTGATAAATTAGTCAGGAAATATGTAAGGAAATGTAAAACAAATAATGCTAGTAGCTATAATCATAATATAATATTATGATGATGATCATAATAGTAATATTAATGATGACATGCATGTCAAACATGCGCAGGATAATGACAACATCAACAATAAGGAGTCTAAATCGTCCTTCCATACAAGCATGGAACCTCGGAAACCTTACGGAGAATTCTTAACAAGGCAGGAATAAAAGTGGCATTGAAATCCACGAACTCATTTAGAAACAAGCTTTGTTGGTTAAAGGATCAATCCTGTGAAGCCTTTAAAACAGAACAATTTAGTTTATCTAAACCCTGTCTGCAATTACTGTCAGGTCAAATACAAAGGTCAAACTAGTGGAACAAGTGCAGTCAGACTAGCCGAGCATAAAAACCTAGGAAAATCTGGATTAGTTGACCCAAAAAGATAAGAAATCTAGAGAATAGTTCAACTATACCACTCACTACATGCAGTTACACACAATCATACAATAAGATGGATGGGATAGGATGACAGTTTTAAAATCTAATGTCACAGGGTGGAGGGAGGGAGAGATTGATAACAGAAGCTTTGTTTATCAAATCAACTGCAAATACATGTAATGGGAATGGTTCAACACCTGTCCACCGAGATATCTGGAAAATTCTACTACTACCCACACGAAGACAAATAGGAGAGAACAAAGAAAACTATTTCATCACTGTGTGATACATCTAATAAACAAACTGATGTGGAACAAGCAACTTATATTCTAATATTATACTGTAACAACAGAAGACAAGGGCCAGGCAAAAGACCGTTTGTTAAGGAAATCAGCACGTATTTATATATATTTCATGTACATTATTATAGCTTATTCAAGCAGACAAACACAGTCTTCTGATTGGTTGTTTCTTCCTCAAGGTTATTCTGTACTGCTTATGACTGGTTTCTCAGAAAGTTAAGCCATATATCTGCGAATCGTATCTGTGCACGTTAAGTCTGCTGTGATTGGCTGTTGAATCAGTCTTGTTCATATTCTCTCACGGCCAATATTAGCGGCCTAGACATTGACGTAAATTAATGTCTACCAATTGGCTAGCAGCCTGCTTTCACCACAATACTACTACTACTACTACTACTACTACTAATGCTAATAGCATCAACTGTCATTGACATATTCACCTCAAAGAGAAAAGCGTTATCGTCTACATAAAAATAATCACATAAATTATTTGTATCATACATAGGAAGTGATCAATCACAAAAGAAGAAAACGCCGCCAAAAATATTTACAGGCAATAAGCTTTTCTTATAGCCTCGAAACAGACATCTCTATACGTTAGTCTGTTATCACAGTTTCCGTGATTATTAGCAGGAGTAATAATAATAATAATAATAATGGTCAAAATGATAAACGTCTTCCGTTTCTAAGAGAAATAAAAAGCTAAATAATTTATTTTACTTTCTATGACAATATGCTCCACTTCCTGCTTTCCTTTTTTTAGTTGTGTCTGACAGTCAGACACAAGTGAAATTTGTCTATCAATATTTCATAGAGAACTGATTAGAAATGCCCATTAGTGTTGTGTTTCAAATGAATCGTTAATGTTTGAATAAGGCATTAAGAAGACAAATTTCGCGAAAGGATATCATTTCGTAGTTTCTTTACAACCGCTTTACAACTAACATGGTTAACAATGGTAAAATAAAGTTCATGAAAATTACTCAGTTAAATAAAAACTAAAAGTGCATACTCTGCTAATGAACAATCATATTTAGATAGGTCATGCAGTCCAGGGTAGGCGAAGATTGAAGTCTATTGATTTTTGTATACACAGTTTAGGCTGTATGTGATTAATCCCCCAAAGTGCTTCCATCACCTTCAATAACCAACCTTGACTTAGAGTTGTGTGAAATAATTGTGAAACAGTCATTAATATTGATTTTGTGACCAGACATTAATAAGTGTTTTGCAATGGATGATGCTGGATTTCTATTAAGATTAATCGCGTTAGGATTTTCGATATGATTTAGTAGCCATTTTGGAACATGTTCTTTTCGACAACACTAGAACATTCTGTTAGTTCTACCTATATAGGTGTCACCGCAAAAACTCCAGGTGAACTTGTAGATACAGTTTGAGATAGAGCTCACAGAATTTCGTTCTTCAGTCGTAGGCACAGGGATCGAAAATGTTCGGGAAGTGAGAAAAAGAGATGAAATGGCGTAGAATGTGCGTTTGATGGCTGACCGACGTCTTTGAGTTAGCTGTCAACTGCATAATCTGGTCTCCCTTGAGTGGTAGGTTAATAAAGACAGATAGCTTTCTTTGGTACTGAAGCTGTCTTTTCGAGATGTGGTTTCACTTTAGTGTGACAAGTGATAAAGTTCTCCGGATAACCATTAGCTAATAAAACTGAATGTATATGTCGAAGCTCATCCATAAATGTGTCACTCGTACATATTTTTCAAGCCCTTGAGAATCGTTAATGAACTAAGAATAGTCTTTTACATAACCTGCTCTTCTTCATCAGGTTCGCTAGTTGTATATCCATCCATAATAGTGAGTGAATGAATGAATTAGTGTTATGAACAACAACATGAATGTTGCAGTTCAAATAACATTGAATCAATAATATTGATAGATTACAGCTCAATAGCATCAACATAACAATAAACTGAATGTCAGAAAAATTAGGAAACATAGAAATGCAAATTCATGAATTTGTAGTCTCTCCTGAAGGCTGGCCAGGGCAGTTGTAGCAGTGGCTGGACTTGCTTCTTTTGGAGACAGAGAACTGGTTGTTTCACGTGAATTGCGATAGCCTCTGCTGTTTGGAGCATACATCACCTGGATGTTTTTGGAAATTTATTTGGTACCCGTTAGAAGATGGAGAATGATTCGTCAATGCTGTCTTTGTAGCCAACTGGCTTGGACCAAGTGTTCTAATATCGAATTGTTGATATTTTTCACTACACCTTAAATTAGGCACATAATAATAAAAATAACAATGAGTTTGTTCCTAACAGTATTGTCGATTCAATTTGCAAATTTTAGCATGTTATTATAGAGTATTGAATCTAATGTTCCCTTG